AGCTCGTCTTGACACCGTTCTACCTTGGTTGTCGCCGGTTTGCTTTTATGATTGTGCGCTCTGTTCCCTGACGACCTCCCGTAAGACAAGCTGGCAGAAGCTACTGATAAAGTTCACAAGCGCTTCATTAAAACGTCTGTGTACAAAGGAACCGAGGCTGGTACAGGCAAATCGTCGGGAACCACACTGCTTGATTCTATCAACGTGAGACTTAGAGCTCAATTTGTCCCATCTCAGACGTGATCATGCTTCTCCGCGGAGATCCATTTCTGGAACCAAGCGTCGTAGCAACTTTCGTAAACGACGGTCACACCGTTATTATTATTATAACCACCGCTTCGGAGACGTAGCGCGTAAATGCCACCCTAAAGCCTTTTCAACTCCTTCGCCTGGAAATCACATGGTCAACCAGTAATGGCGGCGGATGTCGTTGGCCAGGTCATTAATCGCCTGCTGTACGTATTTGACTCCACAACCAAACTTTACTTCTTGGTGGACACTGGTGCAGAAATCAGCGTTCTACCCCGTTCTCTGAAAAAACGCCCCCTGCAACCAGCTGGTCCAATGCTACAGGCAACCAATCAAATTAAAAGGGCGACTTACGGCCAGAAACTACTTATCTTAAGCCTAGAACTACGACGTAACTTTCCCTTTATTTTCACCATCGCTGATATGCAAAAGCCGATTATTGGAATCGATTTTCTTAGCCAGTTTGGTCTTGTTGTTGACCTGCGTTGCGGGAAACTACGAGACGATACCAGGTCTTTAAGTGTACCCTGCAAACTAGCTTCAGTAAATCCTCTCGGGTTCCATATTCTCATACCTGATTGTTCGCAGTACTCTCCGCTGCTCTGGCAGTTTCCGAACCTTAACACGGGATTCGCTATCCCATCGTTACAACCGGTCCGCCAGTAACTGCTTGACCCAGACGCTAACGCCCAGCAGCTAAAAAGGAATTCGAACACATGCTTGCTCCCGGACTCGCCCGCCCTTCAAACATCTGCTGGGCATCACCTCTCCATCTTATGTCTAAAAGATCCGGTGATTGGCCACAATGTGGAGACTACCGAGTCCTTAACAACGCCACTGTTCCGGAGTGGTATCCTATACCCCATATCCACGATTTCTTGCTTGGATTAACCGGGAAGTCTGTTCTCCAAACTTTACCTAGCCAGAACCTATCATCAAATTTCTATGGCAAAGGAAGACATCGCGAAAACAGTTGTGATTAGTCCATTTGGCCTATACGAATTTCTTCGTATGCCTTTCGACCTTCGTAACACAGCACAGTCTTTCCAACGCTTTATGGATCAAGTCCTCCGTAGCCTTGACTTCGTGTACGTTTACATAGACGATGTTTTGATAGCAAGCGCGAACCCTGACGAGCATCTCTCACATCTCCGAATGATTTTTGAACGATTTGAACATCACGGTGTAGCCAATAACCCGGACAAATGTACATTTGGTCAGCCCATCGTTGAGTTTCTCGGTCACAGGATCGATGCTGATGGCATCAAACCTCTTCCGGATAAGACCCAAGCGATCCTAGACTACCCCATGCCACAATCTGTCAGAAGCCTACGCCGATTCCTCGGCATGGTCAACTACTATGGCAGATTCATACCCAACTGTGCTGACCTACTTCATCTGCTCACCGATTTGCTGAAAGGAAATTCAAAGATGTTCACAATAACCCGGAAGTTGAAGCCGCCTTCACTGATATCAAGCAGAAGTTTAGTGGAGTCATGTCTCTTCATCATTTGAACACCAACGAGGATGTCACACTTGTCCTCAAGGCAGATGCTTTAACTTCCGCTGTCAGTGCAGTCTTGCAACAGTTAGTAGATAATGAATTTCAACCACTGTCGTTTTTCTCCCGGAAGCTACAACTAGCTTAGGTCAGGTATAGCACCTTTAATCGTGCACTTCTTGCCATGTACTTGACTGTGAAACATTTCCGTCACCTTCTTGAGGGACGCCGTTTCATTATCCTGACAGATCACAAACCTTTGGTGTACGCTTTCCGTTCTGCCTCGGACCGTTACTCACCTCGAGAAACGCGTCATCTGGACTGCCTTTCAGTTCTGTGAAGACATCCGTTACCTCGACGGTCTCAACAGCACTGTTGTTGATGCATTATCGCTCGCTCATCTGCATCAACTATCACCGACAACCATCGACTTGGAGAGAATTTCCGCGACACAAGCCAATGATTCCGATCTTACCCAACTTCGATCAAACGACTCCTTAAAATTCGTACATTTACCTGTGCTTAACTCCGAAAAAAAGTTGATTGTGACATTTCAATTAGTAAGCCTAGATCTTTTGTTCCACATTCATTTCGAAGAGCGACTTTTGCTCCTTTTCACGGTCAATCACACCCGAGAATCTGATCTACCATATATCTCATAACTATCGATTCATCTGACACAATATGCGTTCAGACATTCGACAGTGGGCGAAACATTGTCTTAATTGCCAGACTGGTAAAGTTCATTGCCAAACTGTTACACCCCCAGGTGCTTTTTCACCCCCTGACGCACGGTTTAGACACGTTCATGTCGATATAGTTGGGCCATTACCTCTCTCCAACGGTTTCACTTATCTGTTGACATGCGTCAAGCGTTTTACCCGTTGGCCACTAGCTGTTCCTCTACGTGATATATCCCCTGGAACTGTTGCTCGTGCTTTTGTTGAGTAGTGGATTTCATTCTTCGGTGTGCCAGCCACTGTCACTACTGACGGAGGATCTCAATTCAGTTCCACCCTTTTCCGTGACTTGAGTCGACTGCTCGGTTGTAGTCATTTTCAGACGACTGCCTATCATCCTGCTGCCAATGGCCCTGTCGAACGATTTCATCGACAACTGAAAGCTGCCATTCCAGCTAGTTCGCCTTATGCCCGTTGGTCTGAACGCCTTCCAGCTATTCTTCTTGGTTTTCGCAATACCGTCAAAAAGATATCGGATGCTACCCAGCCAAACTTGTCCTTGGCACAACCCTCAGACTCCAAGGCGAGATGATACTGGAGTCACGAATCACCGGCGAATTGAAACCTGCGTCCTACGCTGAACGCCTGAAGCACTATTTTCGATCCATTAGACCGACACCACCATGACTAAGCACGCGCGAGCATCCTGACTTACACTATTGTCCATTCATCTTTATCCGAATCGATGCTGTTCGAAGACACTTGACACCGCCTTATGAAGATCCATTCAAGGTCTTATCGCAGAAACCAAGCTATTTCGTTCTGGATAAGAATGGATCTAAGGAGTCCGTGAGCATTAAGCATCTTAAACCCGAATACCTCGATTCAACATTGGATAGTTTAGAATCAACCTCAAAAACTCACAACCCTGCTGTGCCTGGGCCGTTGCCCACTGACAAACGGATGACCGATTTCCAAATCTCGGAACCTCCGTGCCCTCCGACCTCAAGCAGAAAAACACACACACGTTCCGGTCGTATTGTTTCCCTTCCGCTCAAGTTTGCTCATTACGTTCCATAGATACCTTGTCGAGTGTTTCTTCCCAGTGCACGCTCTAGGATGGTGAGTACTGTAGCGAATGTAAATAAGTTGCTTATTTTTATTTTTACGCTTCCGCAGTTTAGGTGCAGTGTTGTTTTAATTAATTATACACGCAATGACTGGTTCAAGCTCATCTTGACGTCGTTCTATCTTGGTTTCCGGGGGTTTGTTGTTGTGATTGTGCGCTCTGCTGCCTGACTGATCCATCTCCGGGATATACGTTCTCCTAGCTCTGCATAGATTGCGGTTTCACCGTCGTCAGACACTGAAGTATATCAGGATCTCTTAATGTAAGATGAATCTAAACTTTAACTAATGTTATTCACGGTACCGGTTCCCTACACCTATACATTATGTGCGCCGAGAACCAGGACAGCTATCCGATCAAACTTCTTTCTGGTCAGATACGCCGTCGTGTGGAATAGCCTACCAGCCACAATCGGATGTTGTGCAAATGAAAGAAGATTCCACATTCAGCTTAGCGAATTCCTTGACCAGAACTCGATAATGACCATGTTGTCATCGGGTAAATCAGCACACGAGTTGTTTTAGGATGGACCAAGGGATATGTAATCAAGGATCAAAGATGGTACAAAGAACTCAGCAATAACAAAAGTTACGTGATTGCAAATTATTTCGATATCATACACTCCACATTACATATCTCACTCATGCATGAGCATGATACTTATTATACCCATGCTCTAGCTACAATCCAGGAACAGCTTATGGTATAATCGGGAAATATAAGTATTATTAGTATTATCATTATTATTACTATTATAACTATTATTAGTAATATGCTATCAAGCTGGAAAGCTGTTACTGCGCATACGTCTTCACCCACAATATTTCGACGACCTTGAGGAAGGAACAATGGGGAACCGGCTAAGTCCACTCAAGCAAGCTGGGATAAGTCAAACAGTTCTTTGGCTCATAAGTTTATACTTTTTCTTCAAATTCGTACTAGATTTTTCAATGCCCTTAATTAAGCAGGTTCAGCACGAAAGCTGTAATATAGATGGAAATTAGGTGTTTCCCGTCCGAAAACACTGCACAACCATCTGCTTCGGCCACGCAGTAACTAAGCTTCATTTCAATCTGAATCGCGATCCGAATTGAGATTGCGCGTCGCAATCCAATCACGCAACGTGCAGTCCAAAAATGGTCCTCCAATTGTAATATTGATAGCCAGAGACATGTATGCAAAGGAAGACATAAAAGAAAAAGGCCCAACCCCTTGCTATTTATAAGACAACAGCCAATTTAGCTTCAAAAATCGCCAAACCGAAAAATTTACACACATTAGTGAGCTCCTGTTGTAGCAAGGACTTTTAGCTTTTTCAAGAAGAATCGTTACGTTACGTTGATCTAAAAATGTCTGGTAGTAATAATTAGGAAAACGTTTGTTGAAACCACGACGGAATCAGAAAAATTGCAAAGCTGATGTACAACAGAAAGCCACTCACCCGCAATATGCGAGCCCCGATGCCTGACGGACACTGTGTGAACCCCCATCTCTTGCGGAACGAATTTGATAGTGTAGTTGACATCATCCATTGCAAGTACATCACACCGTTGAGTGATACCCGAAGGACTGGTCACAGTGGCCGTTAGGTCTCTCAGGCTGATACCTGATAGGAGGTAAGTTCGAGGGGAACAAGAGTGATTGATCAACTCGGGTCACATTGCAAAATGAAAATATACAGGTCTTTCTTCACACACTACACATATGAGAAGCCATCATCATCAGTATTATAAAATATGTCCGTATAGTTTCTGAGTCCTGTGTGGGACATAGGTGCTATGCGGAAACTCCTAGCCCGTGAGGTTAGCCATTGTCCTCTGCACAGTTCCTAACTGGCATGGCAGTGAAAGATGAACTGCGCTATCATAGTTAACTGTCAATCACGCAGGTCTGCGGCTGTCACCCATGGCGAAGTGGCACTAGCTGCTGGCATCCTGAAGTCATGAGGTCGAAACCCGGCAGGGGTCCGCTGGGAGGTGCACCACTGACGAGACCCAGAAGGTCGAAACGCCGGCGTCTGGTGCTTTTCCAGACTAGCCTAAGCCTGCTGATTGGGAGTGACAATGATGAATTAGCTGAATTATACCAAAATCCTCACTACTACTCATCAGTAACATACGAGAAGTGCAAAATTAGTGAGGGGAAAATCCCAGTTAGGCAACGTTAAAGTGAGGTAGCGCGCTCTTTCACCTGAACTCCTTTATTCTAACACTCATATCGAGAGGTGAAACTCCACATTACATTTGTCCAAGTGCTTGAGGAACGAGGTGGAAAAGGTTCGTTATTGGTAATTCACTAATGGCGTGCTTTGGTTCCCATAGTTTCCATGGATTAAATGTTAATGTATACCAGTGAAAAACAATTAGTTTGCTGTTTGGTAACATATATCAGCAACCAAGTGCGCTGTGGCCAAAAGCTCCAGCTTTGATTAGTTTCAAGAACACCTGATGAGATTGGCCCATTGCTCTGCTGGTTTTTTCAAGGTTAATTTGGTTGTCCTGGAAATGTGACCGCATACACGTGAATAACCAACTACGAATCGCACTAAGTTTAGCTCACTCAGAACAAATGTTACCGCAATTAACTGAGAGCTCATAGTAACAGTTTCCAATTTAGATAACCTTCCACATGCCCGAAAGAGCACCGGACAGCTGTTCCGACCTTCTGGGCCTCGTCAGTAATGCGCCTCGATTAAGATCCAAATCCATGACCACCAGCGGCTTAGACCGCCAGTCAGCAGCTTGTGCCACTAGGACACGGAGGACAGTGTCGCGTCGCCACGATTTACAAACCAAACGCGATATAACGCGTTGTATCCCCCACTGCTATGTAAGTTATGATTGGTGCAGAGAACAGCTTTGGTCCCGAAAACCACGAGCTCCTCTGACAGTAGCATTTAGAAACTGTCAGGGCAAATATTCTGATGTACTCATGACTGCGGGATTTTTAAACTCCCAAACAACTACATCAAAGATCCCCTGTTCATGGGTACATAAATGTGAAAGTGTGTGCAACACTGATTGCCCGCCGGTTACCTGGTATTTTCAAATTCAGTTCACACTGACTGCCAACATGAGTGACGTCAGCCAACTCGCGCTGTCGTGTGATACGCTCCATCATCCGCAGCGAAGGTTCGCCCCCAATGTGTACCACAAACGGACTGCCACTGACAAGCTGGTCGGCGTATTTGACATTGATGATGTAGGTGCCCGGCTCCGTTGGTCGATACGTCACAAGGCAAGTCCCATCGTGATTATCGTGACATTCAATGTCTGCTTTGCTAGGACCTTCGATGGACAAGCTGAGGCTACCGTACCCTGGCATAGAGGATGGTGAGGGAAGGACGGTAAAATTGAGGTGATCCAATGGGACAAAAGGTATTCGAGTCAAGACGTTGAAAGCCCAATCAAATAGGCCAATCAAAACACCTTTGGGATATCATGTCACTGGGTTCCTGCATTATACGGAAACTGATGAGACTACGCACATACCAATCAATGATAAGACTATTGGGTCTTAGTTCAGTTCAGTTCAGTCAAACAACTATGACCCAAACATCGAAATGCGGGGAATCCAGTTGTGGTGACTCCCATCGCCGGAATAATATTAGATATCAGTCGTAAAAAATAGGAATGAGGCCAGGTGGATTACAAGCAAGAGCGGGCTAATAAAAAGCTCGTGAAATTAATTGACGTGAAATATTAACAACTGTACAAAGTCTCGATTAAGTTGATCTGTACTGTAAGTAACTTCAGATATACACTAAGCAAAGCCCTCTACCATTCAAGTAGGTTGACCTGTCCATTAAACAAATTGGGTTGGTGTACAACTCAAGTTGCCTATAGCATGGACCAACTTAACATAACAATTAAGGATTCAGGAAAAATATAACCGCTATTGGTTTTGTGAATTTATCATGTTTGATTAGGGTTGTTGTTCACTATTGAAGCCGGTCCTGAGGCCCTCATTCACGAACGCACCACTTCCCAGTTCGATCCAATGTCTCAATCAGCTTCCTCAGACCTTTACATCACGATACCAACCAGCCATTTCACGACTTCACTCAACTAGGTACTGTAAAGGCATATAATGCATGTCGCATAAGCTGGTTAACAGGTACCTGGAGACCGAGACCCAATGGGGTGCCGGAAGGTTTTCTTGCGAAGAGCAACTGGCAAACTACAGTATTGTTCACTTAGTGTCCTCACCAGTCTCCAGTTGCCACTATATAACCCGGATGCAAGTGTACGATGACCAAAACTTCCGTATTCCGACAGAAGATATTTATTGGTTGTCAAATATAGCCCAAACAACCAATGGCTCTGCAGGGAGAACGACTTGAGTCGGTGAGGAGAACCGCGCGCGGAATTCTCCCAGTGCCTAGACAGAAATTATTGGGTCGCTTCCCACACCAACGGCTCGGTTGCTCTTAGTCCAAAAACAGCGACGCCATTGTTAACGCAAATGACGTTTCGATTTCGATTCAGGTAAACATGAACCAAGATATTCATTAGACCATAGCCAAACGCTATCAACCAAGCAGCGGAGCAGTCCAGATAGTAGCAATGCATAGTACGTATATACTGAAAAGCATTTGTTCGGTCTGCATCCGATTGGATGCCAGTTTAGTATCAGTTTCAGGCGCATTCACTCTGATTGGCTACTTTCAGCACACAAGCAATTCACCTTGCCGCCAGTGGAAAAACCTAGTCATTCGCTAGCCCCAACGTACCTGCATTTCTAGTGTCCACAGTGAATTGACAAGTCTGGTTTGCTGTGCCCTCGTGAAGCCCATTACCGTAGACACGAACTTTTGAAGCGTTACCGATTTCTCCCTCACCCACGTAAATTTTGAACGGGCTGTTTGCAATATGGCGTCCGTTTCTAAACACATTCACATAGTGCTCGCCAATTTCCTTCGGTGTGAAAGATATACCTGAAATGATAAAAGGATACAATTAGGGTTTTAAGTCCTATTCCACAGCCACGGTATAGAGTAGCGGCACTGGTAAATGACTCCGAAGGCAGTTTTCAACAAACGAATCCAATCAGAACCAGTGAACTCACCCAAATGACCGTTGGGGAGACGTTTTAGAGTAGAAGGCTGTTCTTGTCCTGATGGGCTTCGGACAGTTGCCACGAGGTTATAAATATCGGTTTCTGTTATGCGCAAAGGCATCTCGCTCGTAGTCCCCACGCACACTTGGTTGAAACGCCGCGAATCACCTTTAAAATAGAAACCAGATCACTTCAGTTAATGAGGAAGTTGGTTTATTCCATGTGAAATTCTTCACAGTTAACTAGTCAATCCGCTGTCACGTAGTCAAAGAAGCAAGAGCTCGAACCAGCCATTTTGCAAGGACCAGATGGGGGTTTTTCAAATACTCCTGGTTATTCCTCGAATTCAGCAGCCTCCTAGCTGGTAATTAACACCATAAGATGGTCGATTCTGAGGACAGGACTTCAATTTGTTCACTGAAATATACTGATGGTGTCGTTAGCAAGGCAGTCACATCAGCTTCCTTAGGTAAGCACGATCTAATTCAATGATATTTTCTGTGACACAGTGGATAGACTACCTGGTAAAAGAAGGGACTTGGGTTCATCTCCTCCGGGAATCGAAGAAATGCGCGTTGCTACTAGGCTCCAGCATAACAAATAACCATCAAACACATCATCTTGGAAGGTTTAGAATACAAACCGGCTGTATAGAGGAGGTTAAACTGAGTCAAGCTGTGTCGAATCGCTTTTATGTCCAAAATATAAGCTCAAGGTGTACTGGCGTGACTGGCCTAATCGCTTACCTCCAATGTGTGCCGTGAACGGAGATCCAGGAATATGGCGTTCCATGAACTTGATGGTGATTGAGTACTCGCCAGGAACCAATGGAAGATAACTTACGCTGCATGTCCCATTCTTGTTGTCGTGACATTGGATGTCGGCCTTTGATGGGCCTTCGACCGATAGCGATAGACCACCTGAGAAGGAAAAGGTTCGTGAAAGGTACGTAGTCCAAACAAGCAAGGCCTGGAGACCAAGATAAACCCACACCCCACGATACTAGCGGTACACAAGACACACAAGAACCAGCCACCACGATGAAAACACACATAGGGGACCAACTATTTTCTGGTAAGGTCCAGTCGCAATCGGGTGGTGTTGAGAGATGAATATCCAGATGAAACTCCGCTATATAGAGGAAACCAGGTGTCTGGACGTAGTATCCATCCTCGTCTGCTAAATAAATGCGTAGAGGTTAGCATCAAGCTGCATGCATGCGATTTTCTTAGCGGTACGCGATGGCAACACTCACCTGCTCCGGCCTCTTTGGTAACCAAAGTGAATTCGGCCAACTCTCCTGCACGACCAAAGGATAAACCTGGCCCGTAAGCGGTCACATTACCCGAGCCGACTGCCTCAACGTAGAATCGGAACGGACTGCCCGGTATCGGCTGGCCGTTGTAAGTGATTTCCAACTCATGCAACCCCGGTTCGTTTGGCTGGAACTGCGCGGTCACAGTCCCATCACCGTTGTCTATCAAGGTCGGTTGCATTGTGAGCCCGGATGGAGTTCGAACAAGACCTGTATACATATTGTGAAGGAGAGGAATTAAGTTCGTTGGTTTCTGCGCACCCAAATAGCGAACAAACATAGGCGAGACGTTCAATTCATGGAAAAAGCCAGGCAGGGGCTTGCCGGACAGTGGTTTCAAAATTGCGCCCATCTTTTTATGACTTGACCAGTCAGAGATATGTTTGACAACCACAGTCCGGTATTCAAGTAACCGTTTCTTACCCTAATACCTATATTCACATCTAAACATTGCCTATTTTCCCAGGTCGTGCAGACCTCGTAGCGCCTATACTCGCATGAAAGTCGAAACAGTCAGAGCAATCAACCTATGAACTTAAGTCGTCATTCTGATGCTCTGATTAATTTCGGTAGCTCTGGTGGCGGAAATCGACGAAGGACTAATGGACGAGACGCCAAGGAACTACCGCCCAGGGCATCTGCGATCTATGAGCACCAGTTTGGTCAGTGGTTAGAGTTCTAACAATTTAGGTTTCCTGCTCCTCCGGATTCGGAGGTGGGAGTTGTGATAATACTTATTGCCGCGAAACTCGTTCATCTGGTAGAGTATTGCTGACCTTTGTCGTCTTGTGATCAGACCCGTGAGCCCATGGTTTTAATTGAGAACCCTAATCATACACATGTGTGAATTTGGGTGCCCCGGACAAATCTCAGTACATTTCATCCTCCATTCGACAGTGGCGTTCGTTGACCATTAACTTGAGTGCTGTTGATTCATTCCACTTGATGTCGGCGCAAACCATCTTGTGCTTGGCGACCAACACGAGTGACTTGTCCGCGATCCTCTGTGAGATGGTAAGTCATAGATGATAGTTGTCACAGCTTAGCGGTTGCGGAACTAACGTTCAGTGGCTGGCTCTTAACCGAAGTATCACAAAGTAAAACACCTCAGGCACATAGAAGGCAAAACTGTATTCTAACCGGCATGTTGTACAACGCATTGATTAACTAGTTTAAAGTAGATCAACCAATGAGCGAGTGAGCGGGTTACTGACGCACGGCAGCAGATGCAGGCAACGAATAGGAAGGGCTCAGTACATTGGCCGTGAGGATGCCACAATAGTACCTCAGGTTATAGATGTATCTCACTTGTCGAGAAAATTTCCCGTCGATTATCTATCTAGCTGTCTATCTGCATAGGGTGTGCCTCAACATGAGGACTCCAAACAAAGACGATGATGGGGCGCGGTTTAAGCCCAAGGTGTAAGTATACCTGCTACTGTGCATACGCACTTTTGCGCGTGACAGGAGTGTCACCGCTGGAGAAGGAAAAAACAACCAAAATCGGGTGTGTACATCCCGTGCCTATTCCATTTGCTATAATTGTATTACCGGACATACAGCATCCGGTTATCCCTGGCTTTTTGTCTTTAGACGGTGCGATAAAATAGAAAAAATCGAGTTATACCAATAGGCGTAGTCTTTCAAAGTAGTCTGGTCAGTCAGAGAGAGTTGCGTTACCACGCGACAGTGCAGTGTGGCAGGATGCGGTCATACTCGTTGTTTCCGGATTGATCAGTAGACACCGGTGTGGGATATGATGAAAGAAAAAGTGAACGTAACTCAGATAAATAACCCTGGGAAACGTCAGTTGTTGTCAACATGGTAGACGTCTGTCTGTCTTAAGCGTTTGCTTAACCTTTTCCATTTGTGATGATACGGAACCTCGGTAGCATCCTAATCGACCACAGTATATCTGTACCAGTTGTACACGGTCAACCCTTAGGAATGTGAGAACGGGAGAGTTGAAATCGAAGAGGAAGCTTAAATCGCACTGGTAAGCATACAAAATCAACACTGTTGCACTTTGACAATACCATACGGTCACAAACAGCCATCTGACGCGAGGCAACCCCCTTACTTCAATCATTGCCCAGTGTCATAACTAGCCTAATCAACCTCAAACACGTTTCAAATAGGTGATTAGGTTAAAAGCTGACGGTGAACCCATTACTGATGTCGGTCATCAGATACCTACTGTAGGATTTGGAGCCAAGCACAGTACGGTTCGCGTGGGCTCCAGAAGGAACTGAACCACAGAGTTCCAAGTAGTGGTTTACAGCTGAATTTTCCCACAAATGCTACTGCGCATTAGGACTGAAGTATACTACTGTGACTCATATCAGACACTCATACCTACACTGGGGAACGGTTAAGAAACTAAAGCAAAACCTTTGGTTCAAAGACCTACTCACAAGGTGACACAGGCTGGCAGCAGCTCCCCAGGTTAGTTGGTTTTAGGGTAATAAGTATCAGCACAGCTCTCCCCAAATCGGGAGGAGCAGGAGACCTAAGGTGTTAGCGTAAACATTGACAAATCTGGTAGTGTTAGCTCCCAAGGGGATTTGGCATGCCGATGCTTTCGCTGAACTTGGACATTTTATCACTAAAATCTGGCCATTTTCTGAGTCGATGGATACCATCGTACAATATCCTCCGTTATAAAGATGGTGCATCATATAAAATCAATAACTAACATACACGCCACCACATGAGCAAAGTAACAGCTCGTTTAAAGGATTAGCAAGCGATGGAGTACTCATGAGCAGTAGTTGTAGTTTGGTGCGATCTTAGTGAAAATTTATAGCAGACAATTTCATTTTAGATGGTCAACGACGCATGCGCGAAAGCAGCAAACGACCACTTCGTCCTAGTAGGGTTCCTCGATGCTGTAAATCCCCGGGCACCATCGTGAACTGAAACCGTGGTATTTCTACACCAGCGCCCTACGCCACTAGCCACTAGTAGTCAATGCCACTAGGTGACGGTTGACAACAACGGCCCATCCATGGCTTAAAAGATAGATAGATAGATAGATAGATAGATAGATAGATAGATAGATAGATAGATAGATAGATAGATAGATAGATAGATAGATATCTTTAAAGATATAGTAATGCGCGTGCTACAGGGTGTTTTACTAATCATGTCCGAAGCTAGGAGCGGTTGCACTTGGGTGCTGACGTACAACCGGTACGATGAACTGCTAACTGTCTAAAGGCGCAAATTGCTTTGCCGACGGGGGTGAGTTGGGACACAGACGCCACATGTGTGCCTACGATTACAGGTCCCACCGAGCCGTTCAGCTGTGAGAAGTGAACGTGAGCCGGACACCACATAGCAGCACTGAACGTGCCATGCTTCGCTTGATCGTTTGTCGGCCTTCATACAGGTGGAAAGCCAGCAAACGGGTTACCTGCGAAGTGTATCGCTGTGCCAGCAACTGAGAAAAACAACCTGGCCGTATGTGAGGACCGGTCGATGGGCGCCGTATCGCTATCGCCACAAAAGTTGTTATCGCCCCATGACTGGCATCCAACAAACCCTTAAGCTTTAATTAGACTGGTTTCACTGCTAAAGGGAATCATACTGCCGGAAGCACATTATAAGTTTACAGCGTTTTTTGCTTTACACTTTCGATCGCGTGTGTGTTCCAGCTGAAAATTTACCCTTCATGGGTGCATAACAACGATTTCTTGACTTGTCTTGATGTGACAATGCTCTTCGATTTCAGTCTGCCCCGACGCACTGGTAGCACCATTAGACAGCACACCAAGTTAGTCATGAATGCAACTGTTGCCCTCACAGGCGGACAATTGCTAGTTGTACAAATTGGTCAGGCCTTCGATGGTGTTTCTCGTGTGCAATTGAGAATATACATTTATTCATTTCTTCACTTATAATTACATGGAATATGTGAAATATCGGTAAATATCAATAAATTAGAGGTTTGCAACATCAGACAAACCGGACGGCCTCACACCGTCAAGGATGAAGTAGCAGCTTGCGCAGTTGCGCAAGTGGTACGTAGTAACCACCATCTCAATATTCGGCAAGTCGCACAACATTGCAAAACCACACCGTATGCTGTGAATCGGATATTGAAGGGAACATATTCTGTCGGTAAAGTGCACTGCAAGTGCAGGAGTTAAACCCATGCGATTCACAAAAGCGCCTGGAATTCACCCGTTTATTTTTAAACAGTCTGGACATGCATTCCATTTTGTTCACGGATGAGGTGGTGTTCCCTCTGCATGGCGAAAATGCGCAACATGTTTCGGCAACAACCAACAAAAGGCGATGTAGGGTTTCACGTGTGCAACACAGCGCGAAGCTCACGCCTTGGGCTGGGTTGACTGGTCAAAAACTCATTGGGCCCTTTTTAGTTTCCAGGAGTGTGTCCGTTAGGTTGTTGTTTAACAGTACCAACGTCTGACAATTTTTGCCATCCTCGTACATGGAAATGTTGCAGAGCAGCGCCATTCCGCAGAGACAGCCGGAAGAGTTAATGAATAACGTTTGGTGGCAGCGTGATGGCGCACCTACACATTCGGTGCAATCAGTTCCTGCCCACCTGAACGACACATTCGGTGGACGTTGGATCCGTCGCGCAGGACCGATAGAATGGCTTGCGCGATCATCGGATCGGAATCCATGGATTTTTTCTTATAGGGATACTTGAAGCGCGGAGTTAATAGAACGAAACCCAAAAACCTGGCTGGGCTGAAAGAGAACATTGTGAACGAATATAGACAGATTTTGTTGGAGACATTGCAGATGGTGCGCGCCAACACCATTCGGCGGATGTTGCTCTGTAACCAAAACGATGGTGGGCATTTCGAACATCTAATTCGTTGATATTTACATACATTTCACACATTTCATGTAATTATAAGTAAAGAAATGAATAAATGTATATTCTCCATTGCACACGAAAAACCCCATCGAAGGCTTGATCAATTTGTACAACTAGCAATTGTCCGCCTGTGAGGGCAATATTTGCATTCATGACTAACTTGGTGTGCTGTCTAATGGTGCCACCAGTGCGTCGGGGCAGACTGAAATCACATCAAGACAAGTCAAGAAATCGTTGTTATGCACCCATGAAGGGTAAATTTTCAGCTGGAACACACACGCGATCGAAAGTGTAAAGCAAAAAACGCTGTAAACTTATAATGTGCTTCCGGCAGTATGATTCCCTTTAGCAGTGAAACCAGTCTAATTAAAGCTTAAGGGTTTGTTGGATGCCAGTCATGGGGCGATAACAGCTTTTGTGGCGATAGCAATACGGCGCCCATCGACCGGTCCTCACATACGGCCAGGCTGTTTTTCTCAGTTGCTAGCACAGCGATACACTTCGCAGGTAACCCGTTTGCTGGCTTTCCACCTGTATGAAGGCCGACTAACGATCGATCGAAGCATGACACGTTCAGTGCTGCTATGTGGTGTCCGGCTCACGTTCACTTCTCACAGCTGAACGGCGTGGGTTCCGTTGGTCTTGCCATGCGGTCGAGGCAATAACGCATTCATTTCGGCTGTGGTGTCTGGCAAACGTACACTTCTCAGCCGAATGGCTCGGTGTGCTCCGCGATCGTAGGCACACATGTGGCGTCTGTGTCCCATCTCACCACTGCTGGCAAAGCAATTTGCGCCACTGGATAGTTAGCAGTTCAGCGTACCGGTTGTACGTCAGCGCCTGAGTACAGCCGCTTCTACCTCCGGACCAGATTAACAAAACACCCGGTACACCGCCATGTATATTTCAAATGTTGCAGAGGATAGGGCTGGCCCTAAAGTCGAGGCTTCTCACGACGTACATTCATAGATGCTGTCGGGTAAATATTTTGTTATACCCATGAGTGGATAATTTTACATGTGACTTTTGGCAATGGTACGTCAAGTTTCATGTCAATTGCTTTCCACACGGCCGGAACGACACGAGACGGCCATTTCACCTTGCTGGGGGTAATCAGTGGTTTGTATTCGCATGTTCTATCAAAAACCCCGTCCATGGACTCGTGAAGCTGACAGTTTGAACCGCCAAGCAGCTGCTTATACCACCAAGTCACAAGGGACCATGAGGGACCGTCATGAGCCGAAATCTGACTGCGATATAGAGCGACTCAGCCTTCAATGAAGAGTCCCAATAGAATGGAAAGGCTGTATGGCGATTATCTACATGCGTGTTGGTTATCTGACTTGGTAGCTATTTCGATGGTCTCACAATAAAAGCAGTGGGGTGATGAGATTTCTCTGTCTATCTGGATTCGCCTTACATCTAAAATTGACATCGTCGACTAACAAGCATACACAACTTGTCGGTCGCCATGCCCGAAGTAAATTAATAATAATAATAATAATAATAACAAGCAGAACAAGCATATTTTTATTCCCAAACATGAGAGATAGCGTTCAACCGTGGGACTCACAAGCGAATACTGAAAAAATGGAATTCCTTAGAGACCATGAACCACAACTGAGTTAGTTAACTTTCTACTTAAATTTGCGTGCCCAGATTGTCACTTTGATAGACGACTGCTCTTCTCTCTCTCACACGTGATGTCATCCAAAAAACCGCACTCGGTCCCGCCTTATTCCCATTTTATATCGACAACATCAACTTGTCCATTAAACGTGGTGGATCATTTTATTCACTTACAAAATTAAAACAGATCATGAACCGTTCGATTGGCGGGGCCTTTAAAGCGGCCCTGCCGTGGTCGCTGAACATTTTTTTACAATTTTGCTATGGATAGATTAGTTTTCTCAGGATATTTCAACAAGGATATTTGTCAAGCTATTTTCAAGGTCACTGCTGCGGTTCTCTGCGTAATCTTTGAGAAAAATTCAGGATACTGCGTCCGTGAAGATGGACGGTCCCGATTGAGAATCTAGCTTGCAACGCTGGCTTTAAATTATGTTGTCCGGAATTGATTAATTGCTGCTCTTTTAAACTGATCGTTTATTTAAGTGAGAGTTTACACAGTGTCCTAATATCCATTCCTACAAATTTATTCTTAGTGATGTAAGTTTAGCTCATCCGTTGTTGATATTGTAAAGTGCTGAAAAGATATCCACCTGGGTACATAAAGCTTTATTTGATTTAACTTGAGAGCGCATTGTTGCTACTTCAAGAAAATATCCACTCTTTTGAGAAATGGAGCAACGCGTAACTAATGAAATCCTCGTATCCTATGTCCGATTGATCTCTGAAAAACTTTCTGAATCCTCTCTGAAGAATCAATCGAACTTAGTAATGAGGGCATCTGTGGTAAGCTGCCTAATGGCAACCGCGAAATATGAGATTCTTCCCATTTACACTTTCTTGCGCAAGCTGAATATCAAATGACGCGGGTCGGGGAGTTTAATATACGTCCTCAAACCCTCACATTTCTCGTCAAAATCGAGCTTTTTAAAATCCTTACCATTTCTATCCTTGAACGCTGCAGCGCTATTTATGGGAACATGTGGACATGAGTGGTACAAGAGTACTGGAACACCTGCAAAAAGCCCCCGGGAACCGTTTGTTTAGCCAAGTGTCCATCTTGAACTATCAGGGGAGTTAACCGGTAGCATCCCCTTGAACCTGATTGGTTTCTCCTGTATAAGCTGAAAGATTAGATGAACTACCCTAGTTTATATTTGAATCGCAACAAACTTTTAGCCGGAGACGTTGCAACAATGGCTGCACGATGATTGGATGAAGAACTACGAGAACTATGCGCTCTGACTTCTTCCGCACAAGTTACGCCGTCCTGTGCAGTGGCCTACCAGACACAGATCTTGTGCAAACCTAACAACATTGACATTCAATTTGAAATTTCTTTCACCTGACCTCGATAATGAACATGTCTGCATGGGAAAATTGACCAACGACTTCTTCCATGGTAGGTCAAAAGTAGGTAGCTAAAGGGAACAAAAATTGTTACTCAAAGAGAAGAATCAAGACCATTAGGAATGATTGAACTCCGTAATATGTTGGCAACACAAAAAGTACCGAATCCTTACCCTATTACCACAACGGCTTCGCGTGCAGCCGAGAGGTATATATATTATCAATAGTACTATTATTATTATAACAAATAGTAGTAGTTGTGGTCGTATTAGTTTTAATAATAATCCATCACTAATAGAAGCAGCCAGACGGCATTCACACATCCAGTAAAACAACGAAGGATAATTAAAGCAACTCTAGAAGTGTCGTTATGAATCTATGTAATACCAACTGGATTCCCGACTAATCCCTGGCAAGCAATACTCTGCTCAAATTGCCTATAATGCCAAAAGTTAATTGATGACTTAAATTTGCAAAGTCGTTGCTCGGGAGGAGGCTATCCCATTCTCTGTGGAGTAGGAGCATGAAAGTTAATGGAGAGTGCATCGAATTAAATCACATCTGACAACTTTGCTATGTCTGTCATTGCTGTCTCCCGTGGCGCAGTCCTCTCAAGCACGAAGCAATAAAAGTAGAGCCGCGGACTCTAACCCCAAACGCAGCAGATGAGACACAGACTGCCGAAGAGTTTCGAGAAGATAAACCGACCGTCCACTACATCTCCGTATTTGTGGTATCCGTTTGTGTGAGTCAATTAATGATAATTCAACATAAATCATTTAAGCTACCCTGATGACCCTCGGAGACCCCAAATGTCCGAAATCCCCTTTCTAAAATGGCCTAGGTAATTGGATAGGTACGCAAGTGCCTCACCACTCTAGGGTTTATCTCGATGAGGTGTTCATGGAGTGTTTGCAGGCGACTTAATCGGTCCATCAGGTGCGACATTGGGAATGACACTTACCCTCCACTCGACTGAACATGGGTCCAACTGGTAACTTGAAATCCACCGGATGGTAGCCTGTGATGATCGATGACGAGTGTACAGATTGCGCAGTCACGTGCTGAACACGTTCCTTTTTGAGAATGAAAAAGAGTAAAAAATGTAGTGTTGTAGGCTGTGGAGAATCACTGGAGACACTCACACGTAAGTTCAGACATAAATTGAAGCCACCTACTCAATGCATAACTGGAGGGTCGGGAAACTGTCCCCATAGACATGAGGTGAACATTGATGTCGCAAGGGCGGTTTTAAAGAGACACTGGTCACTACACACTAAGTGGAGCCAAATGCATTTTAGTCGACGCGGCGCTAAAAGTGGACGGGAAGAACCGAGTTTTTGGTGGTGTGAAAAGCAAATCGCTTCTACTACACTAATTCGCAGGACTTAACCGGTTCTGCATATCGACTTGTCCTGCGAACTTTCAAGACATAAAGCACCTCCGATACGCGGCTGCGTAATTTCAATGTTTACGATTATGTGCGTGTTCGTCTGTACCGTGGGCAGTACAGTGCAAGTAGCTAACAAGCGAATCAGTAGAGGTACGTTGTGAAATGGCTTGGTTATATCGTGCATTCTTACCAATCACAAACATGCAATCAACGCTGTATATACATAGATACAAAGAAAAAACAGTCACACGAGGTCGACTGGTGAACACTCGGCTATCAGTTTGTGCGTTTCGCGCTACCATGACACAGCCAGTTGTTTTTGACGACAGAGCGGCAGCCGTTCTCAATAATTAAGGTTGGATTCCAGTAACTTGAGGTTAGGACAGTGTATGACTCATAGGAAATGAGAAGTAGACATCAGTCAGTGAATACCCGAAGACTGCCGTGGCAGCTGTTGCTTCATTCTTTCGATCATGCTCTCAAAGTTCCCAGCAGTCTGTACAACTAACTGGGGTGTGATTACCGATTTGACATCAAAACTTTGATCAGTGAGCTCAAGATAGGTGTCACGAATTGCGAAGGCACACAGAGTCCAGGTGAGTCACAAGCACTTTACAGATTCAAAGATGGTAAATAGTTACAGCTGTGACATAATTACATTTAGCGGTAAAGATACATGATAAATGCATGAGGACATTCCTAATGGTTTTAAGCGCCACTCGTATAAACCTCTGTGTAGAAGCTCTAAGAACAGGCTGGGAATCGCAAGGTAACCTCTTCTTAGATTTAGCTAACGATGTGAATAGATTTATGGGTGAGGTTCGGTACACTATCCGGTAGTGTGCTTTTGGTAGTATTAGATTAAGTGAATACAAAATAACATGGCCGATAAATCGGTATCCTTTCGATCGTAACGGATTTTTGAAGCGTGTAAAAGTCGATGAGCTTCATAAGTAGAGCAAATGAGGATGTGAACTCACACAAAATATGGTTACAAATGAGTGGAATGGAGCTGGGGAACTTACCACTACTTCTCCCGACAATTCGTCCGCGGTGACCGCCTGACAGAGGAAGCAAAAAGGAAGTGCAAGGATCCAAAAATGAAGTTCGCTTTTCAGTATTGACAATCTGTGCAAAAATGCCGCAGTACTTTCGGTAAATTTAGCATCGTCAGGTGGTCTCCCATGGAAGCAATGAAAAAGTTTGTTATCTGAAGTACACTTGCACGTAAATGCGCAATGTTCATCCCAGGGGCATCAAGCATTCGATTTACCTTTCGGGCGTGCTTAAACCAACCATTGGGAGACTTGAAATTGCAGTAAAAATCAATTCGCTTGTTTCCTAGTAGATGGATGGTGGTCTTCACCGATATGCCAACGGAAAGCATGACGACTTGAGAATTAAACAAAATCGCTATGCAAGCGAATTTTTGTCAATGATGTCAGTGAGTTGAGAATGGCTTTTCGAGCAACACTAGGCAGGAGAGCCTCTCAGTTGGGTGAACACGAAGTTGTTATGGCTCCAAACATCCTGAAGTCATGCCTTCCAGCTAGTATGAATCGACCTACCACAGTGAGAGTATATGACAATGGGAGCGTATGGCAATTTCATTGTTCATTAATTATGCCCATTCAGATATTGGAAGCATAACGCGGAGAACTCTTCGACAGTCTATTCCGGACTGTTGCGGGCACGTCAAATATTCCCGCAGAAACGCGCCAGAAACCCCGGCAGAATGGCTGTGGAAAGCGAGGTTCAATTCCTCCCCACAACGCAGCAGCGCTCAGCCACTCCGAGACGCGGCCCAACTGCGCACCTTTTGACAATGGTCATTTGCAAACTACCACCTCTTCGTGGTGACTGTTTTCCCTAACTTAATAACCCATAGCATTGGCTGTGATTCGCCCTTTGTTGGTCGTAAAAGAGCCTTCAGAGGACCGCCTGTCTTTCTTTCCTCTTCGCCTTACTTGGGAGTCGGTCGGGTCACGTGATTTTGTGTGAGTCGTTAGCTGGCCAGCCTTCGCGTCTAAGTCATTAGCGCGCGTCTACCGTAACCCCCTCTCGTGTGCGTCCGTTCCGAGGGCTCAGCGTCTACCCGAATACGTGCGGCTAGGATCGTTCTCACGCTCGCTCAATTTCCGTCTCACCGGCTAAGCTAACGTCATCAGGTCAGCGCAACTCCGTTCGATTGGCCAGCGTTACAAGCCGTTATCGTAGGCGTGCTCCAACCGTGCCAGTGACAATCTTATCAGGCGTTACGCAATTAGAACAGAGGCGGCGTTCCCTCAATTACAATACTAAGGTAAACGGAACTGGTAAGCGAACGCTGTAGACCTAACGGCCAACGCGTCTGTACCAAAGTGCGTGTGTGCATCTTCGCGCGTGCTCGCACGACACATGGCGCTGTGGGTATCGAGTGGATTATTGATCGACTTCGTTGAGTCAGCAAATCGCATCGTCTGCGTTCGCTTACCCGTCACGTTTATCCTAGTGCTGTAATTGCATTTGCCTGAAGTGAATTGCCGAAAAGTGTTCTCTTCGCAAATGTTTTGTTTCTAATTTTAATTCTGTGACTCAGATTTAGCATAGTCAAATTCTGGCTTGTGTTGGTAGCCGAAAGATCGGGAAGATGGGCTAATTTTAGGCTCGATGTAAACACCACAAATCAAACGGCGTCCATGTCTGGCAATATTGCAAGTCTTTGTCGAAACCGTCAGCAGGTAATGAGCCCAAACTGGTATCGATACTGTGAAACCAACTCTTCAGCACGAAGAAAGGTTATTGGACTATACGCCATAGGAGAACGAATAGCTTCCAGCCAATTGGCTTTGAGTAGCGGGAAAGGGGAGAGTGAAACGAAACACAAATCAAAAGTTCCGTTAACAAGGAAGCAGAAAAGCCGAATGTAATCAATAAATGTCGTTTGATTAAATACCGGTACTTGCACAATGAAAGCTTTGAACGATGTCGCCAATGCAGTGGTTCTTAACGAAAGTAAGCGGGAAGAACGAGCAGTTGGTAAATCGCCGCTGGTGCGTATTATTTGTGTGCTGATTTCACACAAAACTCAAAACTGCGTCACTTATTAGTGGCAACCTTTGCGTTACTGCTTAGGGCTGAGCACATCATTGTTTCGAAGCTGTTGTGCTCAGCGATTTTGTTTAGCCATTTGTTGAAGTAACTAGCCAATAACCTGATAAGGTGTCCATGGAAGCAGAATAAACAACCTTGTGTTCAAATTCACATACAATGTCTTTGAGATTGTAAGTCCCGACTAGATTGACAAACATGCCGTAGGAAGATGAATGACCACAAATTTAGGTGGAGGTATCGTAAAGTTTACACAATTTAAATCTCTTACTAGCCAGTCACTTAATAGTTCGTTTCGTATCACCACACTGCCGAATACAGTGAAGTAATTAACTGTGGTTATACCAGAATATAAATATATACGGTTCCAAGATCATTGAAAGCTCCTACTACCCCGGTAGGAAGGGAGCACAACCGAAGAAGATAGATGAGTAAGAATGTGCCGTTAGTTGCGGATGGGCTTAATTGCTTGAGGCTGTAAATGACTTCACAGTAGACCTGACGGTGTTTTGATGAAGCAGATCATAGCGAGTGAATCGCGCGTGTGTTAAAAGTTTTGCTACGGGAACAGTACGACTTAGGGTTTGCACGGCTCCATTACTCTCGCAGCGGAGGACAAGCTCGGCGTACATCTCCCAAAGGTAGCCACTGTCCAAACAGAACTACACACTCAGGAATTGGTATGAATAGGAATGACTGCAATTTTTGTTGTCGTAAAAGGCCGTTCTGCGTGAGTATTCATGGAGATAACTTTTAGCAGACAGCGTTCTTCATCTGACAATAGCGCTGAGTGCACCTGGTCTGTACCGTGCATGGCTGTCCTCAGATCATTGCGACACAAAGTAGGGGTACGTTTTCGGATTACCTGTCATGTCCATCCATTAGATTCATGCGTTTACCCTACTTTTCTGCAGGTCCCGCAGATAGGCCGATGTGTGTGTATGTGTATGTGTGTGTGTGTGTGTGTGTGCACCAGAGCAATCCATATCTACCTCAGAGGGCGTGATATAATCTGGCTACCGGAACCGGAATAGGGAGTTTGCTGAGGAGACCTCAACCTAAGTCTCTGGTTTAATAATCTAACTACAAGGCAGCAGAGCGAAGTCAAGAAATCCTTTCCACTGAGGACCGATGACTGAACACTCAGGCCATACGTCTCTCGCTTGTGAGTTACAAAACGGAATCAATCCTTGACATCATATCAGTAAGCATCTGCTAAAAAAAAAGGTACAATGAAATCAACCAAAGAACAGTGAGTTTATTTAGGGGTTGTCTCCTAACCCTCCGAAGGCATTGAGTAAGGATCTACTTGCCCCACAAATAAGCACGATATTTATAGGGTATCACATGTTTGAAACAGTTAGATCCCATTAGTAATTTGAATAATGCCGTAAGAAGACGAACACTGGCAGATGTCAACATTTCGTATTGTCTCTTCAGTGTCAACACAATAACATGAAAATATATAAGACGACAGAAAGGGTGAGACCGGAACAGGTTAGAAGAGGGTAGAGAGGCAGGCGTGACACAGCCGTAGGTTTACGAACAGCTGTTTCCGTATACAGAGTGCGGGTTTGATACGGCTGATTGCGACTGCCTCTGCAAAACGTAGGAAACGAGCGTTAGTATGTCTTAACACAATTGTAAACATTTTGGTCGGATCAAACTGGTGACAGGTGGCCAGTAAATGCCTACCTATGGATGAAGCAGGTGGTTTACGTGAACAGATGGTATGAGCAACCGACGACTGGGTGATTTGACGCTGCAACCATTTAGGTACATGTTCCCTTATTCTGGAGTTCAACGATCTATTGGTACGACCGATGTAGTGTATACCACAACTACAAGTAAATTGGTAAATACAATGTGAGTTGGCGCCAATAGGTTGTCTTTCCGTCATTGGGGTAACAGATATTCGATTAGTCCGGTTGATAAGGACAGTTTCGGCAGCATAATAAGTCCTCTGGACTGCCGAAATAATGCGCTTCATTGTCCTCATATTGGCAAAATCTCCCTTAAATGGTAGCTCGATATAGATCTTCTTTTTAGACACTGTCGAAACGATCTGTCCCGGCACCCTCGCCTGACTATGTTTGTCGATGAACCTACTTGGATAGCCATTTTTCAACAGCGTATCCTTGAGCGAGTTTATCTCATCATCTAAACTGTCGGTAGTGCATATTTTCCTTGCACGGTTGAATAGCGTCTTGACTAAGGTCCGCTTGTACCGCATTGGAGAGAAGCTGGTAAAGTGCAGGTACTGCCCTGACCAAGTCGGTTTTCGGTAAACCTCTCTTTTGATGGACCCATCTGCTCTTCGGCAAATCAACACGTCCAGATATGGGAGGCAGTTGCCTTTCTCTGTTTCGCTGGTTACTTTCAGATTCGTGTGCACGTTATTCAGGCGATCGACCAGACGCGCAATGTGCTCCTCTGATGAGCTAAACACTAAAATATCATCCACATACCGCTTATAGTAGGAAAGAAGCGATATTTCCACACTCAACTTCTTTTCAATCATCGACATGAAAAAATCTGCTAGCACTGGGCCCAACGGACTACCCATTGCCACCCCATCTATCTGGCGATAGGGAATGTTTTGGAATTGGAAACCGATGTTCTCAGTGCATAGTAGTAAGCTGTCCTTTAATAATTCGACTGGCATTGGAAGAGTAAAATCGGAGCACTCTGCCATTTCACACACGTAATCAACTGTTTCATGTAGCGGAACATTGGTGAAAAGCGATTGTACATCCAATGTGGACATGACTTTATCGGATAGGTTAAATTCATCTAAAGCCTCTGTGAGCTTGAAAGAGTCCTTCAGACGGTGTGGGATAGTCTGCCGCTTTAACGGTGCAAGAACTTCCACCAGCCAACTAGCCAACTTATGTGTTTGCCGAGTTTGCCATTGACAAGATTGGTCTAAGCGGTATACCACATTTATGGGTCTTCGGCAACCCGTATAACT